TAATTAGATCATTAATACATTGTAATCAAATAAATAAATAAATAAATATATATCATGCCGAATATATGTTGAAAATCGATTGTTTAAAATAGTAAATAATGAAGAAAAAAAAATAAACTTTAATGAGTATGACGAAAGTAAAATGTTATCTTTGTTTGTCTTGAGTATGAGATAAATGTAATAATATTTATCTTGTTATCATTGTTAAACATAACTTTGTAGTTTGGAATAATAGAGAAAAGAAATAGATAGATTTATTTTGTTATATTAAAAAAAAAATAATGTTTATCGATAGAAATCAATTTATTCATAGAAATTTATCTGAATTTGAAAATATATAATATAAAAATGAGTTATGTTTATAATAAGAAATTCGTTTTCGTCATATATATGAGGCTATTATTAATAATCAAGAAAATATTTTCTTTTATTTCTTTGAAAAATTTACAAATATTAATCAATATTCTAATATTTATTTTCTTGATACAACGAATTTATTCAATTTATATTGTTATTAATCTTTCTAATACTAATTATAACAAAATAATGAAAGAGTTTTTCTAAATAGTTTATATTATCGTAGTTTGTAGTTGAAACAAAATCGTATTATATTTGTTTTTATCACAGAGTTTAAAATAAAGCTTTGATTTATTATAATTTTATGGTTAAATTTACTGATGAAGTTATAATTAATAAAAAAAAACAAAAATATTCACTTATATGTAATTAAATTAGATTTAAGAATTTATTAATAATGATCGTTAACATAAGATAAATATAGCTAATATTAGTCTGTCAATTTGAAGATCAATGGCTATATCTATGATGTCTTTATAATCTATTCTGACGTTTTGATTTGAAATTCTAATGTATTCAATTGTACTATAGTTATTAAATGTTTCATTTTGATAATAGTTGTCAGATGTTAACTTTAACGATAGTTAATTGATGGTCATTTAGATAATAATTGAATAATTATTTGTGTTATAGTTAGTATATAGTAAACATAGACAGACAGACGGGTGAATTTTTGGTTTTTAGAGTTGTTTATACTTTCAGTTTATGAAATAAATCTTTTGTGTTGCTCAGAGAAAAGTTTCGTTGAATCACTAGTTTTAAACTTGTATTATTAATACTGCAACAGAATCGTTCGTTCTATATAACTGTTAATATCTATTTAAAATGAATTTAATATACGTATATTTTTATATGACTAAAAACTGTAGTGTGCTGATATTTTTTTCAATGTACTTGTCTGATTTTCGTCGTAGAAAAAATTGTTAAAAAATCGAAACGTTCAAAATATTTTTTAGGACAAAGATCAGAGTAAATTTACAATATGTTTTTTCCTAAAAGTAATCGAAACAGAATATAAAATAGAATTACTAAAATTTGATTTAATTAACGAATAACATATATTATTGTAATAGCATAACAATGACAAATTTATTTATAATATGTTTAATAGTAAATATAGTTTCTAAAAAGTGAATATCGAATCGTATATGATATTATTGATATATCTTTTCAATTAAATAAAAAGGCTATTTATTAATTAATTAGCCAGATCATTTCACTTGATATATAATTAGTAGTTTTGATGACGTTAATTATTTTAAATTTTTCAGTTTTAATTCATATATATAAGTCAATATGAGTTGCTGGTCAAATCAATGATATAAACGTTGACGAGATTTTTTTACGATTGTAAAAAACTTTAAGTAGCATAGTTAATTGCTATTGTTGTCGCAATATTTGATAGGTTTATAATTCGACCGATTGAACTTTTAAAATAGGACAGTTTTCATTATTTTATTTTTATGATTTGTTTGTTTTTATCGATTTAAACAGTTGAGAAATCTGAGTCAATCATTTTCAAGGTGACAAATTTATAGTCTTGATTTAAATTCTATTTCGTTATATTGAACATAGACTTTATCATTGTATAATAACGATTTCGAATCTTACTAAATCTATTGTCAACTAAAATTGATTTTTGTTTTCAATATTTTTTCTATTCGAAAGATTATTTATACAAAACGAACATAGTTTATATCTGTTCAATAGGATTTCTCTTTCTACTATGAAAAAGCAACAATAACATTTTCTAAAGCTGAAAATACTTTTCATAGTGTCTAGATAAAGTTCAAGGTGATAGATTTTGAGATTTTTTTTTGTAATATTTTAAGTTCGTTTTGTTAAAAAGTAGAAGAGCTATTTGAAATTCTAATGATATATGTTGATGTACTCTGAATAATTTTCTTGTTCAATAATGTTTTAATCGAAAATTGAATTGAACGAATAATATTCAAATTAATCAATCGAATTTTTAATATTAATTTTTATTGATCAAGATTAAATAATATCGATCAAATTAATTTAATTGAGATGTTAGAAGTGAAATTGAGACAGTTGTGTATAAGAGAAGAAAAACCTATTCTTCAATATCAACATTGATTAACTGACCAATAATCAATAGACTTTTATTTTGTAAATTCTTCTTCTGTACTCTTATACAAACAAACTTATATGATATTCTATATGAATAGTTTTGTTATTTTACATGAATATAATCAATATGATTTTCTTCTTATTATATTAAACTTAAACAAGAACGAAGAACATATTGTGATCATATTTTTATAATATTCTATACGAATTCTATAGACTTCGAGATTATTCCAGTTGATATTAATTTGTTATTAAAAAACATGTAACAAACACTAATCATTTAATTTATTTATATTTAATTCTATCTCATTTATTTCCTTGTCAATGATCACTAGAATTGATATTATTGAATAAAATATTGATTAATCACATCTGATCTTTTTCTTCAAGAGGGCTGCGTGAATACACCTACAAATTGTACTCTGGAAAGAATATGATCCTCAAACTTAGAATTTGAGAATTTTTAACGTCAGGTGCTCTTATATACTCTCATGTAGTCTAATGTACTGTAATATATGCTCCAGTGCTGGAGAAAAACCTTTAATTTTCAGAAGTCATACTGTCCTCTACTCTCATGTACTGAGAAAAACCTAGAATTTGTAGAATTTGTACCCTTGTCTCATTGTCGTCTCATGTACTGTCATGTAGGGTGTCGGTATGGGTGTCGGTATATAAAACCACATCAGAGTACATGAGAATAGAAATTGTGAAAATTCTAGGGTTTTTCCCGCAACATGAGAATACATGAGAGTACATGAGGAGTGATAATCTTTCCTGAGTACAAATTGTATTTATATTCGCACATCTCTCTTTTTCAAATAAGAACAAATATTTTCTGTATTTATTGTAAGAAGATGAATAAATAGTATGAAAATAGCATTAATAAATAAAAACAAGAGATTATATCAAAGAGAAAAAAACAAAAGTAATGTGAAGAACTTTTGTTTTTTTTAAATAGAAAATAAAAATCTCATAAAAGAAAATATTTGATCAATATATCCGATTTAATGATGGAATTATATATCTAAACATATCAAATTGAAAACAATTCTTGAATTTTATTGAATTTTTTAAGATATTATATATATATATAAGTATATCGAATATTTATTTAAAATCTAGACAAGTTAAATTGAATTGAAATATTTCGAACAATAATGTTCGTTTGATAAATCAATTTGAATATAAATGAATATTTAACAATCTATTATATATTGAAAAATAAATAAACAAATTCTAATATGAGATTGACATTAACAATAAAATATAAATAATCATACAAGTAACGCTCGTCGGCAGGACTCGCTTAACCCTCGACTGAATTCAATCTTGTTATCATCTGTTATCGTTTTCTCAGTTCTGTTGTAACAATTATTGTGCAACACGTGCACAGACGAAAATCTGTCTATAGCATTGTCAGTGATGACCATTTTGTAAAATATTCGGACCTTTCTATTTTCCATTCTGAACTTCTAAGATTTACTTAAGCAAACAGCTCGCAGTCGATTGTCACGATTGAACTAAACCTATCTCTCAATCTCCTCAGATCGTAGTCCGACGATGTTTCTGTTTCCTCTCAAATTTTCACTTTTGTCAAGAACTATTTGTATTTCCGAATCCTACTTACAAGAGCTAGATGTCGAAAACAACTGACCATCGATCTTTTGATCTATGCGTTTTTGATCCTGACACATACAAACTTATTTTATTTCATATGACCCTCTCTTCAATCGAGGGAACAGGACAGATTAATGGATGGAATCTAAGACTAAGGAGCTAGCCAGGCTATTGTGTTTTTACCACATTACACTCCTTTCAGTAGAGGGATTAGCGGCCGAAAAGTCCCGTTGCTTGTTTCGATAGGTATCATAGTAATTATCTTTGCAATTACATAAGAAATCATCAACTCTATTTAAAGCAAATTCTTATACGTGCTTTCATTATAGATTAGAAAATTATTTTCTGTTTAGTTCTCAGCTCTATTTTCTAGGAAATGCGAAGCTCTAGTCATATGTCTCGTTTCTTCATTGCTGTATTCGCTATAAGAAAACGAGGGAATGATGTTTCTTTCATAGTTCCAGAAAATACAGCTTCCATTCGCATGACATTCAGACAAACACTGGGACTTCAGCATTTCAAGATACTTCACCTCTTCGATCCCGTCCTTTTTGCCTATCCCATAAAGCTGAAGAAAATTTCGACTTCTCTCACTTACGTCCTCCTTCACATCATCAACTCTACGTGAATTTTAAATTATTTCGATCAGCACGAACAAGCTCGCTTCTAATTGGCCCCTTCCCGACTAATGAAAGCTCGCCCAAAAAACGTGACTTCGGATTCGAATGCCGGATCATCGATAACTTATAGCAAAGTTCGATTAAAACGGCCAAAAGTCTTAAAATAAGAAAGTTCGTTTCTGATTGGTCGGAAACCGACCAATGAAACCTTGGCCAAAGAAATGGGCTTCGGATTTGGATTCAGGACCCTCGACAACCTATAGCAAAGTTTCGTCAAAACAGCAAAAAGTCTTCAAATAGATTGACCTCTCTTATATATTTTTTTGACCTCAAGCAAACACACAAAGAAACAAACTCATTTTATTCCGTATGACCCTCCTTTCAGTCGAGGGAATAACTCTTTTTCAAAACAACGAACAATTAAAACATCGAATATGTCGAAATTTTATTATCTCAATATGATTAATTAGAGATAGATGATTCTTTATTTTAACATTATGAAATTATTTTTAAACATTTAATATCAATATTGAAAGATTTTTCACGTTTTTTCATTGTTAAACTTCGTCGATTGATATTATATCGATATTCATATAAATATATTCGAACTTTTTTTGTTTATATTTTTTCTCTAATGAATAAACAATAATAAGAGTAAAGAATATATTTTTCATCATTAATCAATGAGAAAAAAAAAACAATGTCGAGGATAAAAAATGCTCGAATAAATGAGAAAATGAAATCTGATATAGATTAGATTTGAAACATATATATATATATATATGAGTATTATAGTTAAGAGATAAGATTTGTATCAATGTGAACTTTAAGTTCGATTATACAATCATATATAAAACGAAAGAAGATTATTTAGAAATCAAATTTATATATTATTGTTATATATTATTTGAACAATGTCAATTTTAATGTTTATATTGTTTGGATTATTATCGATTAATTTAATTATATATGTTGAATCAAGTGAAATAAATCGTACATATCTTATTAAAAAAGATTTTCTTAGTGGTATTAAAGGAGGAGAATTTAGTATATATGATAGTCAAGGAAAAACTCGTCTTTATCGTATGGAATCAAAATTTGGTATAACTCATGATGTTCGATTATTTACTTATCCATCAAAAAAATTATTAGCAAGATTAAAAGCTAAAGTAACACCAGTTATGTATAAAGCAACAATAACGATTTATAATAATGATAATGATCAATGGACAAATGGAACAATTGAACAAAATTTTAAATTAGTTGGAAATAAATTTACTATTATATGGAATGATGATAATAGAATATTAATGGAAGCTACACCTGCTTCATTAAATACAGTATTTATTGAACAACCTTTAGGAAATGTTGTGGCTAAATTTCGAAAACGAATTAGTTCATTATTTTGGAGAAATAAATATGATTTACAAATATTATCAAATACATATCCCGATGCACTTTACTTTTTAGGAGTAGCAGCAAGAGATCATAGTAATTTAAAACTTCATCGAGGTTAATAGATTATTATTTATTATTCAATTTTTATTCTTATGGTTTTTTTTTCTCTCTTTTATTTTTCATCCAAAAAAATTAATTATTTATTTATTTAAACTACTATCAATTTAAACTTTATTTAAAACACATATTATTTCAAATTGTTTTTCTTTAATTATTATTTTTGTTTATTTATCAAAAATTAAATTAATAAAAATAAAAATAAAAATAGTTTGAATTAAATCAATTTATCTATAATAAAAGAAAATGTTTAACAATAGATCTATTATCAACTACAACTATTTTATTATTCTATCAACAATAAAATGATGAATTTATTCGAGCTAAACATAATTTAATTATTCGAAAAATTTCTTATAGATATATTGAAAGTTGACTATTTTAAAATAATAATTGATTATTAGGGACGAACTTCAAATTAATCTATTGGAATTTTAATTGAAATTAAAATTTTAGAGGTTAATATAAAGTGAGAATGTCAATTAACTTTATTCATTCGTTAAGATAGTTTCGAACTATTTATTGTTAATAACAACTAATTAAATATTTTTTTGTATCATTGACTATTTAGAGAAAACATTTCATTTTTTATTAAGAAAAAGGAAAAATGAAATATGATTTCAAATAAAACAAAACACAAACAACGAATATCGAATGATTAATTTATTTTTATTGTTAAAAAACGAGCATAGAAGATTAATTGTTGAGTTTCATTGATAAAAAATTGATTAATCGAAGATAAATTTTATTGTTAAAACATTTCTCTATCTCTAATATAATAATTAATCTAAGAATTGATAATAGTCAATTAATGATAATGCTATTGATCATTATCGTTTAACAATAAATTATTATCTTAGAATAAACAATATAAATAATCAATATGTTATGTTGATTATATTTCATTTAAACAATAATATATCATCTTAATATTATCAATTTTATTTTTATCAAACTAAAATTATCGAATAATATTGAATAAATAATCTCACTAAAGTCTAAAGAATAGATATTTAATAAAACAAATTGTTCTAATCATATATATATATTCTTTGTATAGATTAATCGAGATAATTTCCTATAATATATTAACCAAAGTCTTATCTATGAATAAAAATTTGTCTGATGTAAAACAATGAAAAACTAATATGATTTAATTGATTAACGAAAGGATAAATAAAAACAAATTTCAATTGTATATTCAATAGTGAAAAAGTGATTATTATTCATTTGTCAAAACGAGTTTTTTGACGATTATTTATAGATATTGAACAATAGAGTTGAATAGTTTCTTTTTTTTTAAATAATATTAATATCAGTTAAACAAAAATCGATATTGATGTTTAAATATTTATTTAAAATATTTTTAAAAAAAAACATATATTTTGATTATTTGTGCATAATAAACATCAATAATTGATTTATTTTATTGAAATATTTCGTTGATATAAAAAGAAAATCTATTCTATTTATTTATTAATAAATATTATCAAATAAATTCAATATAAAATATGTGTAGAATACATAAATAAATAGATATTCAACATATAACTATTTATTTAAATAATCAAATTCGATATTGATTATACTAAGATGAATTTTGATGAATATAATTAAAAATTCATTTAATATATTAGTTTTAAATTTATGATGAATAAAAAGCCTAAAAAATAATCGAAAGTAAGTCTTATTTTAAGATAATCTATTACTGTATATGGATATTGTCCATTTCGAGCAAATTTCATATTTTTTTTTTTTCAAGAAGATTTTTATGTTGTTGTTTTTTTTTTTTTCTTTTTTCTACAAAAATATAAATGATAAATATTGATAATAGGATATAATTGATGAAATTAATTTCAATATCGACATATATACAGGATGTTCGATAATAAATGGACAAAACTTTGAGCGATCAAATATTGATCGTGCGCAGAAAATAATATTTTTGGTAGAGTACGAATTCGTTTCTTTTCTTATTTCATCTTTTTATCAGATAAAACGTTTTATAAAAAAAACAACAAAATATATCATAAGATACAGCGTGAAAATCTCTACGATCTGTAAAGTAAAGCTCATTTTATTCTACACTTTTTCTTTTCAAAGAAAGTAAAATTGTGTGCGATCAATTTTCGTCAATGCAAAAAAATCATTTTTTCTACGCGAACGAGAACTTCCTTTCTTCTTCTTTCTTTTTTTGTTTATCGTCTTATATGCTTGCGTAAAAAAAAACAAAATCTATCACAAGACGCAGTGCAGAAAGCTTAGTGTAATTGTTTTCAAAAAAAGCAAAATTCTGTGTGACTAATATTCGCACCGTCGAAATTTGGTCTCTCAAAACTTTGCCCATTTTTGAAACGAACAATTGCAACTATAATATAATCGATCTTATGTAAACTGTAGAATTTTTCCCACTGCATATTTTAATATATATTGTTTTTAAAACTAAACATACTAGATAATGAAAAAAATAAATATAAAAATCGTTTATTTATTATGATAGATCCGTTCTATAGAATAATTTTATTCGAAAAATAAAATAATGATTAAAAATGATCGTATGAATAATAATAAATAAATAAGTATCTGATGATGATATAATATCTACTTTTATTTCGTTAAATAAATAATAAAATTGATTTTTGAATGAATCAATTTGTTTTTGTTTTCTTATTTATTTATTTTTCTTTTTCATAAAAAAACATATAGAAGAAAATGAAAATTGAATCAATTTTTTTCGTGTTTATTATTAATAATTTAACTTTAAATAATCTTTATTGAAGATAATATGTTTTCATTATTAAAATAAATTAAAAAAAAAAATTTTTTTTCTTATCGATTTAAAATTAGTTTGACTTTTGTTTTTCTTGAAAGTAATCAATCTCTTCGTTTTTGTTTGTTTCTTAAAGAGGATTTATCAATATAAAATAATTCAATTCGATATAAAATATATTAATTATTTAACAAAAATAAAATCTTAAATCGATTCAAATTGTTATTTTCATTTGAAAAAAAGAAAAAAAAAAGAAGAGTTTTAATAGTAAATAAATCGAATAATAATATATTATCGATGAATAAATATGATAGAAATATAATTTCTATCGAAATAAAAAAGCAAAACAATATATTTAAATATAGAATAGATTTCGATCAACAATTTACTTTTATTAGATTTTGGCATCATTATCAGAAATAAAAATAATCTATTTATCTTAAACTAATATATGATAAATTCTATATGAAAAAAAAACAAAAAAAAAAAATCATCTATTTATATAAATTAAATTCATATTAAATGAATAGAAGAATATAAAATGATTATTTATATTCTCAATTTCATCAGTTGTTCTTAAATAAAATAGTTAATAAATATTTTTTATTTTCATTCGTTATTCATATTGATAATTCTATCGATAATATTATATTTATCATATGAAAACAATTTTTAATTGATACATATTATAATAAAGTTTTTTTATTTTTTTGTCTTTTCTATATAAAACAAATGAAATAATAATCAATTATATCATTTATAATAGATGAAGCAGATTGACCTTTTATTTACATTTAATTTAATTTAATAATTTTATTAAATTCTAAATAAAATAAAATTTATTTTTTAATATTAAAGAAGAAAACACAACAAGTTTATTAATATAATTGAACATTTTTAAGATAAAAATAAAATAAAATCAATCAATTAAATAATCTACAGATAATTATTAACAACTTCAATCTGGTCAATCGAACCATAAGAGATTAGTTTAGACCAGTTTTTAATAGGAAACATAATCAAATATTTATATTATAAAAGAAAAATCTATAAATGTTGCAAAATTGTTCAAAGAATAAATAGTTAAGAAGTTTTTTAATATCTTTCTATAGTATACAATAAACTAAATCAAACAATAAATAACATTTTTTATTGTAAAGATATTTATTATCATTATCATATTTAAATTAAACAAAAAATCGTGTCGTTTTAACAAATAAAATATCTTTATTTATAATATTATATCTAAATGACTAAAAAAAGTCTTTTTAGAAAAAAACCTTTCTCTCTTTAAACTATCAATTATTATTAAACATATCTTATTTTGTTTTTCTGTTTATTTAGTTTTTTCTTATTAATTTATAAGTCATTTTTGTAAACAAAAAAAATTTGACTTTATCTCCGTTTTGGTTTTTTTTTCTCGAATATTCAAATGAAAAGATCAAACGATCATTTAGTATGAAACTCTAACTTGATTGATTTTTTTATTATTCTTATTATAAGCATAGAGATTATACTTATACTCGATTTTTATCTTATTTTATAATTTAATATTATTAAATGAATATTAACGATTAGCATTTAATAGAATTAATATATGTAGATTGATGAAAATATATATTTCCTTGTATTATTATTTAAGATAAATAAATATATTCAATATTGACAATTTATATTATCTTGTGTTAATAATACATAGAGAAAATTTTTCAAATAAATATTTATTAGATTTAAAAAACTATTTGTTATTTTTATTTTGATCGATTATATTTAAATATATATATATATGTTTTGTATTTAAAATAAAAATGAATATATTATTTTATCAATTAAATTGAAAATTTAAACAGATTTTATAGAATTTGATCAAATCAATAAAATAATAAGTAAATTTATTTGTTCGATGAATCTTAAATTATATTGAACATAATCAATATATAATAATATAATTTAATTCGAATTCTATTATTATTAGGTATATATTACTTTAAAAGAAGAAAATCCTTAATAGAATTTATTATAAATTGTTTATTGACTTTATTTCTTTAGTCAATAATTATATTGATATTGATTTATACTTATAAATAACAACGATATTTATAGATCTAAATAGATTTTTCAATAAATAATATTCTAAAATTTCTAATTAATTAATATATAGTCGAATTCTTCTAATAAATATATTATTTAATAAGTAAAGCATATAAATAAAATGAATTAAATTCTTTTTCT